CAAGCGCGGTCATCTCCCTGCCCCCCCCCCCGCATGACCAAGATTGTGCCTGTCATCCCTGCAGGCGCCCCGTCATCCCAGCACGCTGGGGGGTGGGATGGGGAGAGACGGGCGTGATCGCAGGCGCACTGGGGAAGAGAGAGATGGGCGCAAACGGTGCACTGGGGGTGGGGAGATGGCAGTGATCGCAGTTCCGTTCGTGCAGGGAAGGCGTGCCTGATCAGAGGCACGCTTCTGCAGGAAAGACAGGAGCAGCAAAGCAGAGCCATGGGGGAGATGGCTGAGATTCTGCCTGTCTTTCCTGCAGCAGCGCGCCTCTGATCACGCATGCCTTCTCTGTATGAAAGCAACTGGGATGGAGGCCATCTCCCCACGTGGGGGGGGCGGGGAGATGGCTGTGATCTTGGTCGCCATCCAAAGCAGTGTTCGCAACCCAAGTCAAAATTTTTCAGAAATTTTGTTCGTGATCCGATTTGTTCGTGAACCAAGGCGTTAATGAGCCGAGGTACCACTGTAGTTCCCACTTTCCTATTATAGTTAGTAACAGTGTTAACTATAATTAGCCCATACTAGTTTGAAAATCCCCATATAACTGGGCATGGCTTTGTAATCAAGCAGTGTTAGATCTGCATTGAGTCATAGGTGCCGAACCTGGTTGTAATGATGATGTTTGGACCCTATCCCCTTTTCTGGCCTTCTCATTCAACAAATTGGAGACCAGTAATGTGCAAAATAGTTCTGCCCCTGTACTGACTCTGGTATTTGGCTGCAGTGCCTTCTGTACAGTGGAGGGTAAATACCTACTGCTGGGAGTCTGCTATACTTAGGTAAGTTTTCTTTGCTTCTCACACCAGGAGTCTGGTTCCTGACTCATAGCGCAGCAGAGGAAGCTGCCCTAGCTGGTCTAGGGATTCTTGGATACAAGCAACCAAGCTCCCAGATAGTCAGAGATCAGAGTGAGAAAACAGGGAGAGCTAACAGCAGTTTGATGGTGGAATTTGGTGGGGAGGTCCCTAACATTTTTTTCTTCTTAGTTCCTCTCCCCCCCTCCCCACCCCCTTTCTTCCTTGTAACACATTCACATTTACTGGCAGGACTTGTTTTTAACCTGCAGGGAAAACAGGAGAAAGCACTGGTGGTTAAAATAGCCCCAGCAAGGTAGAATAAAAGGAGCAGAAGGTATGGATGGAGAAGAGTGACTGGCAATGCCTGTGCAATGTTTATTATTTTTCCTGAAGTCAACAATGCATACACATGCAATAGGTGCAAGCTAGTAGCACTGTTAGAAGAATAGGTAAGAGCTTTAGAGCAGCGAGTGTTCACCCTTAAGGTAATAAAAGATTAATTTTTAGACAGAAGGACAGCAGCTAAGAATAGTACATAAGCAAGAAGTGCAACAGCAAGCTGAGGTAGAAGAGAAGAATCCTGTGCTAAGGGAAAATAAGGAGAAAACTCTCTGGAAAAGGGTGATAGGAACAGGAGCAGAAGAACCAGAAGACACTTTGCACCAGTGGAAGCAGTGGAGCTATGAAACCACTTTCAGTTACTCGAGGATGAGACTGGAGGGCAGCCTGTGGTGGAAAAACTACAAGTCATCCCATGCAACACTGTTATTTATTGTAAGCCATCCCGAGACATCTGTAGGGGATGGGATAGAAAAGCTTTTAATAAATAAACACTGAACAAGAGGCTAAAGTAGCGGCAATGGTAGCAAGGCTTGCAATTACAGAAGAGTAGAATGTTAGTTGTGGGAGACTCCCTGTTGTGTAGGATGGAAACACATGTAAATTGGAAAGACCCGTGGACTCATCAGGTATGCTGTCAAGACACATAAAGACCAGTAACATGTACCCCTTCCTTCTTATAAATGTGGGGAACATGACATTGCCAATGCGAGCTTTGAAGAAATCACATCAGAATTTGAAGCTTCTTTGATGAAAGTTGAGAGCTTTGGGACCTAGATAGCTTTCTCTTAATTTCTTCCAGTTCTTGGAAGAGGAATCAATAGGGAAAGAAAAATATTCCTGGTGAATGCCTAGCTACAAAGGCCATGCCAACATAAAAGATTTGGATGCTGGGACCATGGGCTATGCTTTCTAGAAGATAGACTGCTGGCAAGGGATAGGTTGCATCTTAGAAGAATTGTAAGAGCGTGTTTGGCCACAGCATGAAGAAGCTTATCAGGAAGGCTTTAAATTGAGTCCTGCGGGGGAGGACACAACAATGAACAAGGACTTAAGCACCACAACAGAAATAGCAGGTCTAATAGTGCCTAATAATACTCTTCCAAAAAACGTAGGAAGAAAGCCATGGTGTAAAGAGTATGAAGCACATTGTCTTCTATGCAAATATGGGAAACAAACAGCATGAACTTGAACTCTTATTAAAGGAGGGTAAATATGACCTGGTAGATATAACTGACACTTGGTGGAATGATTCGCATGACTGGAATTCAACAGTTGAAGGGTATAACTTGTTCAAGAAGAACAGAAGGGACAGAATGGGAGGCAGTCTCATGGGACTTGTCAGTAAGGGAGTGGCAGACTTCCACAAGGCAAATGCAGTCATGGGAAAAACTAAGCTATTCTACCACTGTCAGATAAACTGTCCGCAGAGCTTTTGAAGGTGTAGCATGTTGAGTCTTTCAGGTGAATTTTTCTCAGCGAGACTTAGTCCAGAAGAAAGGGTCTGAAGAGAACATAGGAAGGACGTGTGGAGCATGTCAGCAAAGCTCAGGAAACTTACCTTTGTGGGGAAAGGCTGGTGGTTGTCACAGAGTTCAGTACTGGAAAAAAAAGTTGTGGAGTTTGAACATGGAGGTTTCTGAGGCAGAATTGATCCTCTTCTGCACTTCTCTCTGCCTGGTAAAGAAGTTTTGATGCAAGCGCAAGTATCTGGGAATATGTGGATTGTATGAGAAAAAGTCAGTGAAGGAAAGTGCCTTGGTTTTGTGAATAAAGATTGGTGACTGTCACACTTGGCTCTGTGCTGGAGAGAAGTTGTGGAGCTTGAGCACAAATCTTTCTGAGTCAGAGCTGGTTAGAAAGACTCTGCCTGGGGAAAAACACAGCTGTGGTATCCATGAACTGTATCGACAAACTGGGGAAGCGTCTTACCTTGGTAGTGGGTTCACTGGGAGTCTAGATGTGTAGCCTCCAGATACAAGGATTCTTAAGGGAACAGAGGATTGAAGAGTTGGTTTCTGTCACAAACCTCCAAGGTTTACAAAAATAAAAGTACAATTAAAGAGAAGGTCAAGGTTAAAGAAAACCAAAGCTTGATACAATTTAAATACAAAACAAACACATCCTTAACTATCTAAATCATAGCAGAAAGACAGTCTAAGTGCAGATCTGTGCTATAATCCAGATGCTTGCAACTGTCCATACTCAGAGGAGTGTGGGCTTCTCACATATGGTTGGAGGAGCACAGAGGTAATAGTAACCTCCATGCTCAAGGGAGGAGGCCGAGGCACCATTAAGATACCTTATAACTTGGTGGTGCCAGTCTCCTTCTCCATCTGCCCACTCAACACCTTCTCTGAGGTTGCTTGTGCAATCCTGAGAAGCAGCTTACTCAGTTCTTTCTGCACTGGCTGCAAGCAGTAGGGAGGCTATTTTGTGCTCAGAGTCTCAGCTCCAACTTTGGAGCAAGTTTGTGAGCTTAATTCTGGGACTTTGAATAAACCTATGACCATCTAGGTGCTGTCTGGCAGCTATAGGATTTTACTGCCTCAAATTCAGAACAGTTGAACAGATCTAATGTATAATATTTATCTGGTAAGAGCAAGTGGTATATATCTTTGAGTTCCACTATAGCAGAATTCATCTGTTGCGGTGGTTCATCCAGAGGAGGAAATCATCATTTTTGATATTGGAGTAGATGTCTCCATGTAGCTTAATGGATAAATGCTTAGAGACTAATAGGTACACTTAATTCCTTATAATCTGTTGGAACTTCCTAGGGAATAGACTGAAGCTTTCTATAGCCTCTTAGTTTTTGGCTTTGTTTATGCAAGCTAGGATCTGTATACGTTTTAAGAATTGTAAAAGCATGTGAAAGAGTTCACATAATGAAATTATCTTACTCTAAGTACTTATGAAGTTGTCACATGGACTGTGCAGAAATATTGATTTAACATAACTTCAGCTTGGAAAAGAAAGTAATTCTACCTGGCAAAAGTTTAATATTGACAATTTTAAGGTAAACATTAATATAACATGTTTGGTATAGTTGCCACACAGGGCTGGTTTGGATATAATGCCAAACTATGGGTTGTGCTTATCTAGTCCCCCTCTCTCCCTTTGCACTCTCTCTCTCACTTCTGATTTTTCTGAACCAGGCTTTACAATATGAAGATTCTGTGGGAGAATCAGTGTATGTACCTGGATAATGAAGCATGCAAACCCAAGGCTCACAAGGTGTCTGTAGACCTTTCCAGATTATATTTTGATGTAACCACCCCCTCAATGCATCTTTACCCAAGACAGGACTTCTGTTACAGGGATATATTTTCTCTGGACTCAGGCATTAAATTTTTGCTGCTGCTTTCTATCTCATCTTCAAAATTAATTGCCTCAATAGCAAAACACTGTTAACAAAGTTGCTTTAATTATGGGAAGAGAAATAATCACTATATGTTTACTTCAGGATGAAAGGGGAAACATGTCTTATTTTTCCTCCATTTTCAGTCCAGTCTTAAGTAAAGCATAACTAAGCATATTGAAACATTTAATGTAAACAGTTGGACTCAGAGTGAATTGATTGAAATCCATTTCTAGGGGGTTCACAACAAAATGAACAGAGTCATGCAGTACCTTCAAGACTAACCAATTTATTCTGGCATAAGCTTTCAAATTAGTGATTTACTGCTATTCATGAGATTCTGTTTTGTATTCTATTGATATAAAAACATTACACCAAAGTAATCTGTACTGTGGTTTGAATTTATTCTGTTTGCTGAAAGGATTATTCTTTGTTATCTCATTCTTTCATTTTAGTGATTGAATACCAGGCCATTCCAAGGTATGGACCAGCAAGTCCATTCAAAGGACATTTAAGCACCAAAAGTAATGGTAGGTAATTTACCAGGCATGGAACAGATCAAGAATTTCAAAATAGTTTTGCATAAAATGTTCCTTGTGCTGTCAACTGGAAAAAACATTTACGCATTGCAATAAGACCTTGGTTTAACTGAGATTTGGCTGCCAACTTTTTGGATGGCCAGTTAAATTGAGGATATGTTTCTACAGGATGCTGCCCAGACAACAGAAACCTCTGATGTCAGGGGCTTCTGGGAATACAACAACCTGCTGGGCAGTCACTGGCACCATAGAGGTAGTAGCAGGGGGTTTTTCACCTCCATGCCCTCCTCTAGCCCCATTTTTCTATGTGGGTCTCTGAACTTGTCTAGTTGATGCATGTCCCAAGAAGTCCAGATTTGGTGGATGCACAACTCCTCCCTGCTCATCTCACTGATATACATGCATTCCTTCTCCATCCTTGTCCTAAACTCAGAGCTTAGACCTCAGATGAGGTACCAGCACAGGGCTTTCCATGGCAGTCAGCAGCGGAAAATCTGAGGAGGGAGTTCCATAGTTATAGACGGCCAGTATCCTTTGTCCCCCTTAGATGCTGCCAGGGGGGCATGAGATTGCTTTCTGAGTGGAAAATTGAATATTCCTCAATGCTGATTAATAGTGTTTAAGAAAGTGTTTGCTCTCTTGTTTATGACCAGTTGAATATGCAGTACATCTAAGTGATTAAAGCTTGCCTAAATGGCTTTTAAAAATGCCCAGTCTAGTTGAACCTTCCACAACCTAGTGGCCTTTGGATTTGTTGGACTGGAACTCCCAGTCACCATTCAATGGCCATTGTTGCTGTGAATGCTTAAAGGTCCCACCTAACACACCTGGGGGGCATCCAGTTGGAGAAGACCTGCTTCAAAATATGAACACCCTTTCTTAAGATATTCCCAATTATAATATGCATATTTGTTTTACGAATAATGAGTTGTGTGATGAGTAGCCTTACCAGTTAGTAGATCAGTGCTTTCATTTCCGTTCAGTATGAAATCTTCTCTCAGGACCTTCAGGCTGCAGTCCCCCAGCCACTTTCCTCCAAGATAGTCACATTGACTTCATAATGGGGCTATTCTGGAGTAGCTGCTTAGAGGATCTCAGTTTCATATGTAAGGATATGTTTTGTTGCTTGGGCTCTTAAAATTACATCTGAGAAGCATAATTGAAATGGCTTTGTAATTTGTGTTTGGCTTGTTCATGGCTTGATCACTGAAGGGTTTGCGTTCTAATGTAAGTATTGCTTTCAGTCTGCTTAGTTATTCAGTGCACCCATTTAACCCATCACAGTGCCCTCGTACCATGTGCTGAGGTTTGACATGGGTCCTTAAGAAATTACTAGATCAAGAACATGCAGCAAATATAGGGATGGACAGTATGGAGGTGGAAGCCAAAGTGCTGATGGCATTAGAACTGATCAGCCACCCATTCTGTGGGCAATGAAGAAGGGCTGTTTATCCAACAGAAGTCCACTTGCCTCTTGAAATCTGAGTGTCTGGCAAATGCAGATGAAGCTTTCTCATTCCAGATAGGTTAAGGCAGGCTTCCCTAAGCTAGTATCCCCCAGATTACAAGTCCCATCATTCCCAGCCAACATTGACATTGATGTCAGCTATTGTCCCAACAAATTTGGAGGGCACCAGGTTGGTGAAAAATGTGGAAGAGAAAGTCACCCCATTTAAACTAATTCTGTATAAATGCAAGAAGGAAAGGCATTGAAGTATTTGGCTAATTAAGACTCATTCTGTTCAGAGCCCTAAAACACACACACACACACATATTTAATAAAGCATTTACATCCCGTCCTATATGCAAAATGTCTTAGGACGGCCTACAAGAACCAAAACAGTCAGTAAACAAAACAACAAGAATGTGCATGAAACCACATTAGGTATTAGGATTTTAGAGGCTTGGCATTACCTGTTATTGTCAGTGTACACTTTAATGGAAAAAGTCATATTTGTGCAACTACTTCCCATCTAAGTAATATTAAGTTAATAGGGTCTTAATAGGGTCTTGATCAAGGATGAAATATAGAATCCCAGAGATCTTCAAGGGGTAGACTAAAAGAAGAGCTGTCCACTGGAACTTTTACAGTATATCTTTTCCTGGTAGTCATCTTTAAGGCAATTTTAAAAAATGATAACATGTTGAATGAAGGAATGGTTGGTTTACAATGTTTCTCTATTGGCTTTTCTATGTGAGGCATTTATCATTTTCCATGTATTTAAACATACTATTAATTAAAACCACAATCTTAGATGACTTGTTTTAAATTTTTGCTGTGCAGGGCTTTCTGTGGCCCTCTCATCCAGATTTCTGATGAGAACAAAACCTGTGAATAATACTCCAGCATCTGGTCTTCCTAGGCCATTGTCTCAATCCAGTATAGATGAGACTTGGATGAAAACCACCTCCTACTGTAAAACTAGTTTCTCACAGGAAGCACCTTCAATCCTGAGTGGTATTCTCTGTTTAGGACTAGGATAACACTAGAATAACACAGAAACACCTTCTGCTGGATGAACCTGCCACTCTATTCAACCAACTTTTCCCCACATTGTGACCATCAAATATTTTGGTCTACAGCTCCTGGCAGTTCTAACAGTAGCTGAAATTCAAAATTTCTGGAGGGCACTAGGTTGGAGAAGACTGTACTAGAATAATTGGGCAGAACCTCTTGCACATCTACATCATTTGAACTTGGGTTGTTAGAGCACATAGCAATGTCTTTTCTGCTGCTCTGCCTAGACATTAGCACACCCTGTTCAAGGATTCATCCTAGAACAGTGACAAAATGAAGACTCCTTGCTTGTTGATTTGTTCGGATTATGCCTAACTCTGTGGTAGCATAAACTAATGCTTGTTAAGGCAATGGGGGGAAGGGCATTTTGCCGCAAAAAGTTGGTAGTGGTGCCAACATTCTGTAGAAAATTACAGCCTTTTCTCATTGCCCTAGCACAGTGGTGGCCCTCTCTGTCAGCACACGAGCCAAGTCGCCCCAGCATCACCCCAGCAGCCAAGTATCAGATAACAGCGCACATAGGGGCCATGCACATGCTCGAAAAGGAGTAGCGGCGCCAGGAGACGATGTCACGAGCCACAACTCATTAGCCGCAACTCTTCTGAGCTTTCGCATGGCTGGTTAGTGCACTGCCAAGGATATATACATATTTGCTTGGACTGGTTGTCAGTTGTTTTTTCTAAACTAAAACCACAGTATTCAGGTTTTATTGCAGTGTTGGCACTTTGTGATAAATAAGTGGGTTCTGGGTTGCAGTTTGGGCACTCCGTCTCTAAAAGGTTCGCCATCACTGCCCTAGCAAGTGCTAGTTAAAATGCTAAGAGACACAGGTGGATAGTACCTTTTGTTTTTTAACGTTTTAACTGTTAAAAACTTTTTGAAGTTACCTGCCTTGGGTACCTCTAAATTGAGGAGGAAAGCCAGGATATAGATGTATTCAATCAATAAAAGCATTAGGTAAGTGTTGTTGGCCTCATCATATCCTGTTGCTAGCCTGCAGATGTTCAACCTGCTGATGAAATGCCCTCTGTACAAATGCAAAGCTGGAAGAATGAGGTCAGAGCTAGGCCACGATTCTGGTTCCTCCGGTGCTGTCCTTTGGGAAACTCCTGGACAAGACCCCCTGAAATAAACTGCTGCTGCTGGAGAGCATCGCTGCTCATTTTGTTCATACTTTTTATTCATTCCAAGGGGCTTCTGTGAAGCAGCTGCCTGCTTGTCTTTGATCTTTGTGGTTTTTTAAACACTCTTGTTACACTGTTTTTCCTGTTTTGACCTTTGTACTTGTTTCTGTATCTGGGTGAAGAATACCTGCACCTTTCCAATAATGCTCAAATGTACTTGCATTTTACAGCTTTCTGCATTGACTCCTCTTCCCGCAGATTAAGTAGTCAGTACCTGATCAGGGATCACATGGCTGTCCATTACAATAAAATACTTTCAGCCAAAGGTAAATATGTATTTATTTCTACTTTGTATAGCCTTTTTATTTTTAGAATACCAGCATGTATGGCATGGTGGTTACAATGTTGAACTGTAACTCAGGTTCAAATCCCTACTCTGCCATAAGGCTTGCTAAATCACTATCTCTCAGATCAACCAACCTCACAGGCTTGTTGTGAGAATAAAAGGAGAAAAATAAGCAGAAATAAGAAGAAAGCAAGCTCTGGCCCCATCTATTGGCTGAAGGAACAAGTGCCTCAAATGCTAATCAAGCAGGAACAATGGCAAGGGAATAAAAATGCAATAAACAAACATACACATAGCACATTCCTAAGGTTCACCTCTCTGGCTCTGCGCAGTAGCCACCTGAGGCAGCAAGATGTCTTGTCTTAGTATCAAAGAAAGAAGTTGTTCCATTGATTGGAGAGCACCAGCATACCTGCTCTTGTGCCAGTTTAAGTCGGGAAGCACAGAAGAGATGAATCAGTCATTTTCTGAAACTCTTTTGACATCCAAGCTTTTTGCTGAGCCAAGATCTTCTTTGTCTGATGTACAACTACCTTTGTTTAGCACACCTTTGTTTAGCACTAGCAGTATGCTAGGCACTGTACACTTACCTTCGTTTTATATGAATTAGCTGGGAATGCAGTTTTCTTTTGACACCTCTCTCTGTATATTTTAAACCAATGTCATTTAAAGGCTACTATTTAAAATGAATAGAGTATATGAAATGCTAAATTAAACCAGAAGCTCTAGTATTTATGCATTTTGAGAAGATATAATTTCCTACCACCACCATAGAACTATAGCAAAAATAAAAGTGCCAACTGGATACATCCTGTGCCGATATGTCAGTCTTACTATCTTACATTATTAAGCAACATTGTTTGCTATTTTTCATATTACTGAGCAGATACCCATTCTTCAAAGATGGTGCTATATCTTAATATTTGGCTCAAGCAGCTTAGTATTGATTACCCTCCTTTTCATTATGTCATCAAATCATCGTGGTTCTGTTGTCACTCTTTAGAGAATCAAAAGCTGTGGTTCTGTACTTTTTTAAAAAAAGTATCTGAACTCTTATAAAGAGGCACCAGTTATTAGCAGCAAGAAGAAACTAATAGTACAGCTTTATTCAGAAGTAGGTCTCATATTTCAGTGGGCCTTACTCCAAGGTAAGTGGGTAGAGGACTTTGCAGGCAAAGTCTTGTATAACCTACATAGTCAGTACATACAACTCTCTTTTAAAAATTATATTTAATTTTAAATGATTATATTCTATTTACCTTATTTAAATGGGTTTGTTTTATACATGCCATTCTGATTTAAAGGGGCTTCCTAAAAGTTAACATTCATGGTACAACATTAAATCAAGACAACGGCTCCTATAAACATAATCTTAGATTTACATTAGGGTTCACTTCTTCATGTTTTCGGCGCCAGGTAAAGACCTTTTTATTTAAACATCATTTTAATTGTTAAAATATATGATCTGGCCAGGGCAACTTCTTCTTCCTTCTCTTTTCTCCTCCTATATTATTTATTTACTTATTTTATACTGTTATTTTTAATTTTATAATGTTTGAAACCCAGTGTATTTTTTGTATTTTTGTATTTAATGGTAATTTATTATGTTCTATTGTATTTCAATGTATTTTATTGTGTTGTAAGCCGCCCCGAGGCTTCGGCAAGGGGCGGCATAGAAATGTTATGATGATGATGATGTTAGATTGACAACTACAATGTTTCATTTTCAAATACTTCTAGCATTTGTGATCTAAGCATATCAACAGATATACAAAAATTACATTGAAATAGCTGCCACCAGGCCTGTAAGAGGGACAGTGCCATCACTTAATTTGTACAGGTTACACTTATTCCTGAGGATTCATTCTAGGCAGGAAGGAGACAAAATAGCCACTGTGGTTTGTCTTGAAAATAGAGAGCAGGAGGGACCTGGTTGATGTGTTCAATTTGTATTTGCTCACGATCATGCCCGTAATGGTATGCTCTGAGTCCTTCCCTCCTCTGCATAAGCATTAGACAAACACACTGGGAGAGAAGGTGCAGACGGTGAGCACAGCAAATGGGACTACTGGATAATACTCACTGTGAAGGAGAACACTAATGCAGGAGGTGTAAGTTAGAGATCAGAGGAGCTCCGGGGCAAAACTTGGTCCACTAAGGAATGCCATGCCAGCAGACATGCTGCCTGGTTTCCAGACTAGAGGCAAAAGAGATGTAAAGAAAATTATGTCTGTGTCAATGTAAGTTTTTTTAGCAGTTTCCTTTTTAGAGGATGGAGCTGAGGTATGGTATACTATTCCTCACTCCTTAAGGTGTCCCTCCAATGAAACCAGTTGCTGAGGAGAAGTCTAAAAGTTTGAATGGTTGCATAAATACGAATATGCAAATTGAAGATTCCAGATTTGCATAACTCGTTTGCATTGTGTGCAGCCAGTCATTTATCTCTAATTGCTAGGGATGTTGATCTTTTGCAGGTAATTTATCTTTCAAAGGCGATACTCTAGATAGAAAATAGATAAGGTAAGAGAAGAGAAGTGTGTGGGGTGGAGAGAAAAGGAGAAAAAGAATGTAGGAGAGGAATTGGTGCTTGTCTAGTTGTTGGACTACAATTGCAGTTATCCATGAGCATTGTCCATGCTGATTGTGGCTGGAAGTTGGAATCCAACAGCTTCTGGAGGGATGCAGGTTCCCCACTTCAGTGTATCCTAATCATAACACAGTCCAGTAGGCTGAGATACCTTCCTGACTGTGCCACAAGGAACAAAATATAATTGCTTTATTGATTTCATTTGTACCCTGCCTTTCTGCCAAGAAAAATGGTGCACAAGGCTCTTCATAACCCTATCACCCATTGTGCTTGTAGTGTGATTTCCCTCATTTAGTTCGCTTGGTCCTTGTGGAACAGTTTTATTCTAGGACACTGCACTAATTCACTTACTTACTGGAAACCACACTAATTCTAGTATTGGATCCCCGCTTTCTAACAAAGCACTAAAGGTGGTTTACATCTTTAGAAAAGGAAACAAAAAGGAAGAGGGGAGGGTAAGGAAGGAAGAGGGAGAATCAACGAATTCAAGGCACCAGCCATTTTACTAAGTTATATAGCAGAATGGGGAACTTGTATCCTATAAAGAGTTACTGACCCACAGGAAAATTGAATCAGAAACTGCAGTGATAGTGGGTAGAGCCAGAGTTTGCAATATCGCATATCTCTTTTTCTCACCATGCCGACTCGTCGCTGCTTTGTCCCTCTATCTATTGTACATGCACATATGATTCCTGGGGGGCAGTCAGGAGAGAAAGAGTGGGCCTGCAGTTCCTGGAGAGCTAGATTGTGCTGCCAGCTGGATGAAATTTGACTGAGGGCTGCAGGACCCCCATTTCCGATATGTAATGACATTACCTAATGGAACCATATGAGATAGTTCTGGAAGGGAGGAGCCAAAAGGCTGTTGGTCTTAACTCTGCAGAAGGAGGAGGCCTCTGTATTAGCATTCAGTCTGGTGGCAGCTGATGGAGGCAGCCTGACCAGGATGAATCAAATGGCAACTGGTCTCACCTGACCTGGCAAGAAGGTTATATGCTGTTTTACCTTTCCCTCTGAAGCTGTTCACAGGTAGAATGGCTGTTGATAGAGACAGTTCTAGTAGGAGAGGAACCATGTGGCAGTTGGTCAGAGCTGAGTAGATATAGAAGCCCCTTCTGTTGCAATCTCTCATACAGCCAACTGATTAGGAAACCTTATCTGAGATACTTGGGAGAATGTCAGGATTTCTTGGCGATGAAGATATAGCACTCTGCATGTGTTCAGAGATAATAGTACTGCCAAACATTTGCTAGAGTTCAGATTCCACGAATGATCTCTGAAAAGCCCTGGGTGAGAGATAACCCTGATTTATTAATTTATAATTAATTCAGAATTTAATTTATAATAAATTTGCAACTAAATTATGGCAGTTGGATCCCACAGTTCACTGCAGAGTTTCTGCCTTTTATGATACACATGTTTCTGTCATGGATCATCTTCCCTCAGTTCCTTCCTTTCTAATGTTTTGGGCAAAATGATACTCTAAATTATATCCATGGTTTATTGAAAGACGTCTTGTCTATTCCTCTCCAAGGCTGTCTTGGAGAACAGAATAGCTCTTGACATCAACTCTTGTAAATCAGAAACCTTCCTCTCAGAATGGGAAGGGAGCATTACTTTGTTAAATGAACACAGTGTGGCCTGGTATGTTCTTGTATGTTCCCCCCACATCTCTAATGTGAGAATTTCACTGTTATTAAATGAAATTTTAGAACTGGGACAGGATGATGCACTACCCTATGTGCCAGATAACATCCTGAATTCAAGCTACTATGTCAAACTTGCCACTTTCCTTACATTCATTGCTGCTTCTCCTCCCAAAGGACCAGGTACAACCTGGTTACTATTTACATCTGTGCAGGTGCAATCCTGTACCATAGTTGGCTTCTAAAGAAGGAGAGAGTATTCCTGGGCAGAACAAGGAGGAGGGAAAGTAATCCTTCCAGTTTGTTAACAATGGTGGCATCAAGCTTTTGCCTCCCAAATGCTCCACATATCCATTCCTTGCTTCCGTACCTGGCAGAATTATTCTTATAGCAGTAGTATCTGCATAATCCATAGTCTTCTATGAATCATCTTCTCCTGTCTTACAGGCTTTCGCATGTTCTGAGAAGTACAAATAACCCTCAGGCACTCACCAGACCCTAGGCTGTGAGGGCTACCTCATGGCCTTCACAACATCCTGTGGGGTTGAACTCATTGGATTTAAGCTTACTAGCTCATTGCTTGATTGTGACTGTGTTAAATTCTAATCAGGAGGAGAAAGGCAGATGCTCTTTCGGGCACCAAAAATCTCTAACAATGACTCTGATCGATAGTCAAGTATTTCCCTCAATAGATTGAAACTACCTATTCTTTCAGATGTAACTAATTCCTAGAATTAACTGATAATGGAAGGTAAATGCTTTATATTTATTTCAGTATTGAATAGATAGCAGGTTAGAATATGGTGATCTGATAATTCTGATGTTCTTTCTTTTCTGTGCATCACTACCCACACAGTGACTGCTTTATGGCCAGGAATACTCAGCGTCTATATTCATGAAAGCCTCAGAGCAGAACAGACATCCTTTATTAAACATTACTATGTTGGGGAACAGTGTATATATTTATATATTCAGAGCTACAATTACAGACCATGCTGTTCTAGAGTGGTTACATTTTCCATAGATGCAGGCATGCAACACAGAATAAGTTTATAGGGAATCTGCATTTCAATCCCCGCCTTCTTTCAAAGCCAGCCATGCTATTATTTCTTTAAGAGCTATTTCTAATTCTTTTCTTAACATCTAATTGAATCAATTGAAACAGAAAGCAACATACTTAAAAGCATGAGCAGAAAGTTATGTTCCAGTAATAAATGGTTTTATTTTCTTAGTTACTTTGTGAAAATATGTCCCATCGATAGCCAAGATAATGCAAAGACAATTGCAAGTCTTAAAAATATTGTTTATGGACTCACTTTAATTGTGTTGCTTCTTTTCAGCTGCTGTAGACTGTTCAGTACCAAAAAGCAGGTTAAACAGCATAAAATGTAAGTATCTCCATTAGTATTTCCTGTGAGCTAACTAGTTTTTCTCAAGGTATACAATGATTTTTCAGTAGTAACTGTCCTGAATTTTATAGTTTTAGATGTGAGATAGGAAAACTTATTTCCATTTCCACCCTGCAGAATACAGCCCCCAACAATATATTTTTCATAACTTCTCAAAATCTATTAACAACCTTTTGTAGCTTTTCTTCCTTAGATGTTCTCTTCTTTCCTTCTAATCCCAGAGCTGGATGGGATCAAACATGTCTGGCTTGAACCTAGGCTGCAAGCAGGTCAACTGCACATGGCTGTTTCACAGATCTGTTTGCATAATTCCTTCCAAAACATGCTTCACATACAAAGGGTCCTTCCTAGCTGATCAAAAAGGGTTTTTTTTTAAAGCAGGATACCTCAAGAACTTAGAGCCTTCTGCACAATTTTCTTTCCCAATCTTAAAGGATTAGAGTGCAAGGAAAACAGGCATGCAAGGAATGGCTTTGGGCATCTATGTATTCCTGAGAGTTTAGGGAGATCTGTAGGCTGACTTGGATGATGGATGATACAGGATTTAGAGAACAAAATGAAACCAAAGGGGCATGTCAAGCAAAGAAGGGAATTGTCCTAGGCAGTAGGACAGGCTGCTAGCAGTAGGCAGGCTGCTATAACCTTGTATTTCCTTGTACATCCACCTCAGACCAAGCTGGGCACTCTTGAGGTTCACTTTCCTATACCCTGTTCCCAAACCTAAGCCATAAAACTGTAGCAATTAACCAAGCAAAAAGCTCTGGGCTTAGTACTAAGCCTTACTTGGAAGGAAGTGCACACAATTCTTGAGGTAGATGTTAAGTTAATTACAATGGGGAAGGGGGAAAGAGGATTTAAGAGACATGAAAGAACCAGAATAATGTTTGGGAATAATACTCCAGGCTGAAAATTATCGCCAAAGAGGATGTTCTAAGTCACAAATCAAAATCAAGATGAAGATAAGGGGCAGCTGCAGCCTCCCTCTGTTTCTACTCAGCTCCGTGACAATTCCAAGGATATTTCTGTTAGGCTGTTAGGCTGGCTGAAAGAGTGCTCCCAAACAATGGCAACAATTCCCATAGGAGCACTACTGAGATCCTTAAGACCAATTGACAGAGTCTTGTTCCAAACATAATGCTAGAAGCATCTCAAGAGAACACACACATCAGTGCTTGTTTCATTATGTGCAATTTCCACCTGACAGAAGGGAGCCTTGCATACAGTTTGAGTGCAAAAAGAAAATGGAGTCTCTTGGCAGGGTCTCAACATGGTATGGAGGGTACGAGGTTGCCTTGATTTGCAATTTCTTTCAAAGGGGTATATGAACTTGTTTGTGTTTCAAAGCTACCAGTGAATATTTTGTAAGTTGCTTAACTTTCAGCAGTTCAGCCAGAATTGTCCCATTCTTCATAGCCTTTCCAAGAGCATATGAGGCCAGCTATCTGCAGCTGAAATCTTGTCATGCCACTGTAGCTGTGGTACCTCTGCATTAGGTTTAATGTGTGAAAGGGCGTTTTTGCTGTAAGAATGTTGAATGGATCAGAAAACCTGGTTGCCCAAGTCTCCAAATTACATGAGATTGCTGATATACAAATATGTGATTAGAGGGGCACCCCAACATAATGAATATCTTGCATGGCCCTGCTTCCCCCTCAGTATGAGGAGGATAGTGCCTGGGAAGGGTGGCAGGCCCAATCTTCAGATACTTGCATTTTCCTTCCTCCTCCTCCCCTCCTTTTTTCTGTGTATTATACATTACAGTGTCAGTTAAAGCTGGCCAAAACAGAAGTGGTTTTGACAAGGGAAATGCTTTTTGCCTTCCATCTCTTCCCTTAATTTATTCATTGATTGAGACCTTTAAAAGGAAATGAGAAGAGGCTTATTTGATTGTGGTGTGTGCATGTGGACATTGTGGGTTTGTTTTATTATTGCAAAATAAGCATTCAAAAACATACAAAAGTATTAACAGTGAATAACAGAGAGCGAGCTTTTGAATTAGCTGGAACCAGAGAGCAGTGTAGTGTGAGGATTAGAACATTGGACTAGGGACCTGGGAGATCCCAGGTTCTAGTTCCCAGTTAGACAAGAAGCTCACTGGGTGACTTTGGGCCTGTCACTGACTCTCAGCCTAACCTCTCTCACAGGATTGCTGCTGAGAGGTTACGGTGGAATGCCGGAGGACTATGTAAGCTGCCTTGGGCTTCTTGCAAAAGAAAAAAAGGCAGGTTATAGTTTGCTACTACTAGTAGCTAATAATAATAATAATAATAATAATAATAATAATAATAATAATAATAATAATATGATGATGATGATGATGATGAGAATAGGGGAAAAGAAACCAAGAGTGTGGGTGTGTGCACATGCATCCATACAAACACACACAATTTTTAATTAATTTTATATTGTGGAGAGGAAAGAATTGTGGGATCAGCTTGGACACCCAGAATTTGCACAGCTAGCACCAACATTTTCATCCTTTCGGTACTAGGTTAGTGTTGCCCTTTCTTCCCAGACGTTAAAGAGAATATGTCAGCTGTTTTGGCAACTCTAATTTTTATTGAAATTGTTTTGTATATTGGAATTTTACACTGTATCTTATTGTAGTTGTATTTTTATTGTCTCCAATAAAATACAACTTTACTGTTATGCATATGAGATCTTTGGCTATTTTGCAGTTTTAAAATGAAATTAATATTACATAGAATATTGACAGAGGCAACCTACTCCTGATTGCTGGGTGCAAAGGAAGGCAGGGAACCACAAGTGGCAAAGGAAAGTCACTCTACACTGGCTTAGAGGTTCTTGTTTACCCATTTTCCAGGACAGCCTTGGTGAGGCTATGTTGTGAGAAAAACTTCTAATGTTATGCAAACACACAGGCTTCTTCAGAAAGACTAATAAAATAAGAAACAAACTGGAATGGGGAATTATTCAGCAGTAGAGAATCTGAAATCAGTGAAGTTGAAAATTTTGAAAAAAAAATGAGTTGACAGATGCTGGTTTCTTTCCTGAGTTTGTTTGTTTTTCGATTTATATCCTACCTTTTTCCTACAAAGGGCTCAAGGCAGCTTACATCTCCTCCTCCATCTTATCCCCACAACAACAACCCTTTGAGGTAGGTTGGGCTGAGAGTCTGTGACTGGCCCAGAGTCACCCAGTTGGCTCCATGGCTGAGCGGGGACTAGAACCCACATTGTCTGAGTCCCAGTCCCATGCTCTTAACCACTACACCACACTGGCTCTGTTCATATGCATCTATGTAAAAAAGTTATCTGATCCATATGAGATGCAGAAAGCCCAGTGCAACTTGTGCTACCATTTTCCCTTCAACAAAATATGGCAACTCTTGGTGACATTTTAACTTAGCATGGTATACATTCTACCTTTTGATGGGATATAACGTAGTAGAAAGTGCTGTATTGTGCTCTACTTGTTTGCCATTTCACTGGAAAAGATGGTAGTATTCAAACGTTATTTTAATTGTTAATATTATTTATTCATTTTATTCTTTGGCCAGGGTGACTTAATTTATATTGTTAATTTATATTGTTTTATTGGATTCTATTTATTTATGGTTGTGAGCCGCCCCAAGGCTTCAGCGAATGGGGCGGCATAGAAGTCCCCTAAATAAATAAATAAGTAAGTAGGTAGTGGTGAAAACATATATACTCATAAATAATATAAAAAATGGGAAAGGAAATCAATAATAACTTGCGGGTAAAGCTGAAACACAGAAGTATAGTCCGCACACAGCTGTCTTTTGAAATGGGTTCTGACTATTTTGTACCTCAAGAAGATGTTTGTTCAGGGATTATATGAGTAGCTTATTTAAAAATCTTTTTATGCATTGAAATTTGAATTTAGTGTATAAACACTTATGTAAAAATTATATTGCCTAAATAAACTCTATCAAAATCATTTAAATTTATTTTAGATTCATTGTGTTTAGGATTTATGTGTTAAAGTAAAATACCATTATTTCTTTTTCTAAAATCTAATATGTTGGACAACTTCCCAAGTACTTTGTCCTTTAATTCACCCCTCCCCTTGGAGCAGCCACTGGCTTAAATTTATTCATATTACCATGGAAAAGAGTTATTCTCTGCCTTTCTGTTAATACCTGTCTGCTAGGCTGGACTGAGAAAGCAATAATCTTGATGACTTTCTGCTTTGCTTGCTTATTCATTCATTCGTTGGACTTAAAGCCAATAAACAGAAGATGTCATTGCAAGTGTTGATTGATTTGAAATCACCATTACTAGATTTGTAATGTGACTCCACCATTTCCTATGAGATCAGAATTGAGTAATGTCCATTTACAGTTGAAGCACTTTCAACTTTTAAGAGTAATGATCTGAAAAAATTATTAGCTTACTGGCCAAAGTGTATTAGTCAAGGGGGAGAAGACTTGCCTTCTTGTCAAATTAGAAAACATATTCCACCTGTAATTGTATTCTATATGTTTTCAAGATAATTCACTCATATTTTTGTAACTGTTTCCACGATGCATTCATTCAACATCTTGGAGCGCTATGTGGCAAGCAAAGCAGTCTTCTCATCTGCAGGCAAAACTATTTTTCCATAGGTGCATCTGCTGGAAATCTTAGGGTTATCACTCATCTTCCCTAGCTTTCTCAGGGTTTTTAGATCTCCCTCAAAATGCCATAAATGAAGTGTCTCTGTAGGCCAGCAGTTCATCTTGGCATCAAGGGCCATTTCTCCCATTGCCAATGAATGCATGTTTTTTCACCAGGAGGGTATCCTTGATTAAATTCAGTTCTGTGATGCATGTACTTCTGTCATATTTTGCTGCAGAGGAGCTCCAGATTGATTGATTGATTGCACTTCTATGCCACCCCATAGCCCTTAGGCTCTCTGGGTAGTTTACACATTTAAAACACATATAAACAACCAGTAAAATAATCATATTTATTTACGTATGCATTTTTATTTAAAACATTTGTACCCTGTCTATT